ATGTCCTGCTTGCTATAATCCCAATAACTATAAACCATGTTAAAAATACCTGAACAATACCAAGAACTCCATAATAAACTAACTAAATTATTTAACCAGAAAGGAACCAAAATAATTATCACTGATAGAGGACTTGGTAAAAGTAAGAATGCCGTCTTATGAATATTAAAGCAAGTAGTTTTAAAAGAGGGAGACCATGCTTTTTTAATGAGAAATTGAGGAGATGACAACCAAAAAATTAAGGAATATTTTAAAAAAATTGTGGATGATTTTTGTGTCATGTGAGAAGGGCAAGAAGTAAAAAGAAGGGATTTTGAAATTAAAGACTTTGAAACTTATTATTTTGGTTTATTATATAAAAGTAAAGTCCGAGTTTATTTTTACACCTTATTTGACGAAGGGGGCAGTCGAGGGAAGCATGACGAGGGAGCAAAAAGTATGTTTTTAGACGAAGCCATTCCGACCCGAAGTGAACTAATGAAAGGAGGATGACAACCCAACGAACCTTATAAATATTCCGAACACGAGAAATCTATTAAAAGAAATAATTCCACCATTGAAAAAGTATTTTTAGGCAATCCCAACTGCTCCTTCTACGAATGCTGATTTTTAGATTATTGACAAAAAGAATTAGAAGAATTTAATAAATGGTATTGAAAAAACCGACCCAGTGATAAACAAAAATGGAGAGACTGAACCTGAATTAAACAGTGAGAAAAGAACAGCAAAATATTATATCTAGAAAAAACTCAGCAAGAAGAAACTGAATTTCCTTCTTATGAGGATGGTAATTGAGATAATTTTTTTACTAGCAAAGAAGATTTAAAAATAATTGAGCCGATAAATGGTTCTCGTCCTCTTTATGTTTTTAATGGCTGTGTGATGTATTTAGCCAAAAAAGGCTTTTGATATTTAGCAAATAAAGAGGATTTAATTTATTTAAAAGAATATTGTTTGGATAAAGAACAGAGATTAAGAAGTAAGCAATTAATCAAGTGAGATTATGATAAGGAAATATTAAGGGGTGAATTATTAGATAAATACGAAAAGAGTAGGCTATTTTTTGCTGATAGTTCAGTGAAAGGAACAATTGAGGAGTTTATTGGGAAAGGCAAAATATAATCACATACCAAGGTGTATACTAAAATAGATAATATAATATGACAAAAGGCATAGAAATCACAAAAAAAAAAAAAAAAACAGTATTAGAATTATCCCTTCCTACCATTTAGTAGTGAAGTTTTATAAAATTGTCGGCTAATGGTAAAGGGAAATATTTGTGAAAAGTGCCAAAAACAAGAGGCAACTACAACCTATGATATCCAAGGATGAAAAAAATGAACTGTTTGTGATGGGTGTTGTAAAGAATTGCAGACATGTAGCAAGTGTCAGAAAAATCCTGCTACTATCCTAATCACGGAGGGAAAAGAAAAGAAACAAGTTTGTCAAGATTGTTCTCAAAACAAACCCAATGTAATTAAATGTGATGACTGTCAAAGGGAAATGAAAAAGGGAGAGCAATTATTTTTGGATAATGATGACAAGGGAAAACAGATAAATGTTTGTGCCGATTGTAAAAGTAAAAGAGGCAATAAACCAAACAATAAAGATGGAGAACTTTGTGAGAAATGTAAGCAACATTCTTCTGAACCACTGACTAATTTAACTAATCAAAGAACCAAAGAAAGTTGAATGGTTTGTCAGCAGTGTCTTAAATGTCAGTTATGTAAGAAGAACAGGCATGACTTTATGACTAATGAGAATAGTGAAAAGTGGGAACCAGGCATGTTGCTTTGTAATGAGTGTAATCATAAATTACCTGGCAATAAGAAAAATAAAAAAGATAAACCTCCTAATCCTGATGAATGTTGTGAAAAATGTGGAGCTTCTTGTGTAGTTCACAGAGATAAAACTTCTTACACCATTAAAAGAAAAAGGTATATTAAACATAAAACCGACTTCACCCGAGAAAGTTCAGTCTGATTTGGTTTAAACTGTTCTTGTGCCAGAGAATATCGAGAAGCCAATCAGCAGACTTGTCCCCAATGTAAGAAAAGAGAATTTCCACACATGAAAAGAGGTTGATTATTAGATTATGAAATCCACAAAGCCTTTTGTTCTCCCCATTGTCATGTCAAATATCGAGAAATGAAATGGGAAGAGGCTCAAAGATTAACCCAAATTGAGATGTTCCCTCCTGAATTAGATGTAGAAGTTAACCCTCAACAAAATACTAATTGAGAACAAGAAGGATTAAGAAGAGAGGTATTATTTTTAAGGGAAACAACAAGAGAATTAGAAAGCAGATTAGCCAATCAGTCTAATCTCACTCCTGAGGAAAGACAACAATCAGATTATTTAAGGAATTTACAACAGAATACTTTACGGAATGCTGAAAGTGCTTATCAGAGTAGGTATGGTAGTCTAAATGAAGATGGTTCAGATAACAAAGGTGGTTTAGGTGGGGGAGTGATTGCTGTTATAATTGGAGCAGTAATAATCTTAATAGTAGGAATTATTTTCTTATTTGCTAGAAATAAAAACAAGAGAAGATATGAAGAATAATCAATCAATAATTAAATACATTAAAATCAGAGAAGCATGAAGAGAAGTTTTACGAGCTAAGTCTCAGGCTCTCTCTACTATTTGAAGTGGTTTATTTAGATTTGGAACTTTTTTAACCTATTGAGCAGTAGAAAAATATTTTCTCTCCAAAGAAATTGCTGAACTTTATAAAAGAAATCCTAATTATAAGTATGTTTTTTATCTCTCGTTAGCTTTCGGTTTATGAGGGATAATTGATGGATTATTTGGAGTAATCAAGTATTTTCAAGCTAATGAACATGCTGATTATTTAAGAAGAAAGGTTGAAAAATTAGAAAAAGGTTTATCAAATTCAAGTGAAAACTGACAAAATAATTTTACAAAAGATACTGACAATATTAACACAAATAATATGAATAATAATAAATACGAAAATACGAATATAAATGATATATATAGCAACACAAACACAACAGATTTAGAAAATAATAAAGAAGAAATTATTAAACATCACCGAACTAGATTTATCATTTATTTAGTCTTATGATTATGTTCTACTCCTTTTATTTTTGCCTCTACTTTTTTAGGAGGTTTAATTGGAAGTATTGGAGGAATTTCAGGAGCCATATACGGAGCCTTAGCTTTCTTTTGAATAGGAATAATATTAGTAGTTGTTTTCCTTATTTTATGAGTATACCATTTAATTAAGTGGTTGAATGCCTAAGGTGAAGAAAAAGGATTTATTTAACAATTCCTTTACTTTTTGCTTGTTATTTTTTGATTGAATAAAACTATGCCAACTTAAATAATTGTTTATATTTTCCTTGTTGTGGTATAGACAAGATAAAGAAGTATTTGGTTAATAATAAATCCAACCACATTAATAGTAAGATAAATAAATAGTAAAGTGTTATTCATAATGATATTTAGATTAAATGAGTTTCAACCAAAACAACAACTAGTTAATTTATTTTAGTGATTTAGTTCTTTTTACCCCTTCACTTCTCATTGCTATTATCTCATTTTCTAATCTTTCCACTTTGGCAAATAAAAGAGGGCTACTTTCTTTCTCTTTTTTTAACTCTAAGCAGTCGAGATGATAACCTCGTCCCTTTTCATCATCAACCATTAAACAATCAAAAAAACCCTTTTGACATCACGGACAAATAGGCAATTTCTTTTTGGAAGTTTTTTTGTTTACCATATTATTATTAATTTTACTATACTACTTTTATATAACATTATTTTTTATACCTAATGCCCTCTTCCTTTAATTTCTTTTCATATCTATCTCATTCCTTATGCCAAATTTTATCATGACCTAGCCCAGGATGAGGACAACCGCAAGTTTTACATTCTCACTTAAACTCTGTGGAATAAGGGTCAAAATCAGGATGGGAACGAACTTTATCCGAAGCATGGGCTAACTCGTGAGTAATAGTTTTGGGAAATCTTTTCTCAGGATTAAGGTTAAGTTTACTTTTCTTAAATAATTTTTCGGGGAAAGCAATATATCGACCACTGGTTTTTCATGGCTCTTTTGCTGAACCCCTAAATCTAGTCAGACCATTTACTCCTTCTTCTAATTCTTCAACAAATCTAATTTTAATGTTCTGTTTAGGAAGTAAATGTTTGGCTAATTTGTTAGAAAATTCTCTTTGTTTTTTGTATTTGTGTTGGGGAAGGTCTTGATAATCATCTTCGTAATAACAATTAGAACAAGTTCAAATCCCTTGTTCTTCTGTTAATTCTTCTTCACAGTTAGGGCATTTATCCATAATAATAATTTTTACTCCTCTTGACTTTGTTCTGTATCATCGGTCTCACTTTGGTCGTCTGTTTCACTTTCTTCTGAACTTTGGCTTTGGCTCTCAGAACTAGTAGCCTCTGAACTCTCACTGCTTTCCTCTGAATTACTTATTTCTTCCTCGTCCGAAGATGAGGAACTTTCACTTTCTGTTAATTCTTCTCCTCCACTTTCACTTTCCTCATTCTCTCCGTCGTCTTCCTCCAAATCAGATAAATCAGGGATTTCCTCCTCTTGGTCGGGTTGAGGAGTTTCCACTAAATCATCAGGGTCAATACCAGGGATATTCACTTTTTCTGTATCTCTTTTATACTCAGTTCAAGAAATTAAAATATCTGTGCTAGTAAAAGTAAAATTATAAGTAGTTCCTCCTTTTAATGGTCGATTAGTAGGAGTAGCCCCGACTTCTAAACAGTAAATAAACTGGCAATCTTTTTGGGGAGTAAATTGGGTAGTTAAAAAATTACTTCGAGCTAAATCATCATAAGTGCAACCTCAACACCAGCCCGTTTGAGTAATATTAGGAGCATTATTATGATAGTGAGAAAAGGAACAACTACACGAACTTTTAAAACTTTCCTGGACGGCTCCATCCGAAAAACAAAATCAGGTAGCATGAGAATACTCTCTTTTATCAGCCTGATAAGGAATTTGGTGAGTAAAGGTTTGACTTTCTATTTTTTCATCCCCGACAGCAATCGAAGCATCCGAAATCGGATAAACTACATGATTAACAGAGGCTGCTAATCTTAATTGGGGATTAGTCAAATCTTTTTCTATTTCTTCATAAAAAAATACTTCTTTTTGAAATACTTCACTAATAAATCCATCGGTGGTGTCGTTCCTTAACTTTAAATTTCCTTGATAAGAGCCAGGTTTGTTAATTAATACTCCCAAACTATTAAATTTCAAATCTAAACTTAATTCATGGCTCTTATTATTACAATTATGAAGGTTATTTAATAAATCATTCGAATATTGAAAACGAAAAACTAGGGAAGGACTACAATAACGATTAGCAAATTCCAAGAAATCATATTTTAAATCAACTGTATTAGCATATAATAAATCAGGAGTAAACAAGGGCTTGTTTTTATTTCCTCCTTTGGAAGGATTTTTGTATTTTCTTCTGGTGCTTTCTTCATTTTCAGGTTGCTCTTTGGGAACTTCTTCGTTTAATCCTAAAATGTCTTTAAAACCACCTCATTTTTCGGCTACTCCTGATAAAACTTTTTGAACGAGATTTTGAGTTTTATAGACTTGGGAAACAGCCAATTCAGCCTTTCAAATTTGAGTTTTGGAACTCATGAGATAATGAATACCCGATGGGTTGGCTCGAACTTGATTGAGAAATTTTAAGACAATATATTTGCCCGTGCTATTGCCGTCTGGGTTAGTTCCTCCTTTTTCCTCTAATCAGAACTGATTTAAAAAGCCCGTGTGGACTAACTTATTTAAAAAGAAAACTTGGACGACACTTTCGTGAATTAAATGGGGATGCTGATTATAGACTGAGGGCAGGGGAATTTCCTCAGGCTTACCTTTATTACCATCTAATTTACTAAATGAAACATACTGAACGGATTTATTAGCATAATAGTCGTAAGGGGCTAAAAAGGCTAATGTTTGTCCTCCCATGGTAGTGCTTTTTCACCAATTAGCAATATAACTAGCTGCTCCTCCCACACTATCCAAATCCGTCATAGTAAAATTGGTTATTATTTCGGGGTCTCATTTATTTGGACCAGCCTTAAAACTGGTTAAATGTTGACTGCTAACTTCGGTATTTACATCTAATACCACCGTCTTTAATCTCGGTTGAATATCAGGATTTTTCACTTCCTCAATGACTAAATTTCCCTTATCATTACAAAAAGAATAATGGAGTTTATTGCTTTCAGCCAAAAGACTTTCCTTGCTTTCTAAAAATAAAGGAGCTCGGTGTAGTTTAATGGTTCCTGGACTTTTAATATATTTAGCATAATAAAGATAAATCTTATCCACAAAAGCCTCTATTCGGCAATATAATTTAGCATTATCAATATAAGTAAACTTGCTAATGAAATATAACTTATTCCGATACAAAAAGCCATAATTTTCTTGTTCTAAATCAACCCCTCGATAATTATGATAAGTAAATTGGATAACATTATTTTCATGATAAGTAATATAGCAAGGTTCTCGTAATTCTTCTTTTATCTCTTTATATTGTTGAACTAATTCAGTAATTTCTTCACTTTTTAAGGTTTCCTGATTTAAATTTTCAATTTGTTCTCAATTATTTTTGCTTAAAGCAATAGCCAGTTTTTTTAATTCTTTGAGTTTTTGTTTATTTTGTTGAGGTTTTTTAGGCTTAATTCCTGTTAATCCTTCTCATTTGGCTACATAATCTTCTAACTGCTGAATATTTAGCAAAGGATTGATTTTTTTAATATTGTTTGCTCCACCTCGATAAGCCTTTAAACTATCTTTGCCAAGAATAAAGTTAATAGTTTTGATAATTTTTTTATCTTCCTCCTTATTTCGGTCTAATAATTCCCGATAGTTTTTTAAATATTCTTTAATTTTTTCCTTGGTTTCTTTAATAACTTCTTCTTTGTCTGCTTCGGCTATTAGTTCATATTCAGCTCTAGGAAAATTAATTTTTGGATTTTCGTTTTGGGCTAGTTCAATTAAAATTTCCCCTAACTTTTTTTGCAATTCTAAAAATTGGGTTTCTCTATCCTTATTTTTATCTATTCAGTCCTTTAACTTCTTCTGAATTCGGGTGTAGGTTTTGGGTAAGGGTAGAAAATCATAACTGGAATTTCAGAAATCTTTATCAAACTTTTTTAAGTCCAAAAGTTTAATTTTTTGCCGTCATAATTCCTTCCGAGTATGAATTTCTTTTCTTCTTAATTGGTTTAATGGGGGTGGTAAATATTGGTTCATAATTATTGGCTATATCGGCATCCTCCTCATCAGTATTCATAAGGTCAGTCTTCAACTAGGTCAACCACTACTTCTTCTTCCTTGGTGTCAGGATTAATTTCCGTGGCTAACCTTCGGGTTAAAATTAATTCCTGTTTTCCTTTACTAGTATTAAAACTTAATTTGCTAACCCCTTCTTTTCTCCGTAAATATCCATCAATTCCTTCGGTTTCAGTCTCTCAATAATCGTCATAATCAGCCAAATCAGTAAACTCATTAGCCACCTTTCTCACTTCCATTAGTTCTAAAAAGTCCATCGTAGCCACTAAATTATTAATTCCTCCCCTTATTCCCCAAGTTTCGGTAATACACATTTTTAAAAAATTATCACTAATTAATGGCTTTAAGTCTTCAATATCGTTTTCCACAACCATTTCCTCGACCATAAATCTTAATACTTCTAATCTTTGCTGATAAGTTAAGAGTTCAATATTGACAGGTTTACATCTATCTTTCACAAAATCAGGAACAGCACTTAAATAATTGGCTGTTAGTAAAATCAGGGCTTCACTAATATCTATTCGAATATTTAAAAACTTATCGGTAAAAGTTCAGTTTAATTTCCGGTCGGTAATATTCCCAATCTTATCTAAAATTTCCTGCTTGCTGGCTTTTTCAAATTCGTCCAAGAGAATAATGGGGGCTCGGCTTCGAACTCCTTTGCTTTTTTCTTTAATTGGTTCTTGTCCTTTTCGTTGCTTTTTCTCATTATCTTTTTTCCATTCTTTAATTTCCAACTCTAATCTTTCTATTCTCTCTAATTCCCACGGAGTTAGAACTTTTTTACCTCGGTCTTTCATTTTCTTAACCTCCTTTTCTAAATCTTTAACATTATACTTAATTAAAACACTACTATCCACATAAGCACTCGTGATTTTTCCGTAATTGGCTGCTGAATAAGAAGGGGCTTTGCCTTCTAATTCGGAAACATGTTCCATACCTCCGACATTTATTATTAGGATTGGTCTTTTTAAAGCCTTGGCTAATCGTTGACAAATCTCTGATTTACCCACTCCTGGTTTGCCTAATAAAACATAAAAAATTTGGGGTGGTTTTCGACCTCTCTTTTTCCTTCGTTCGGCTACTTCAATTTGATTTCTTAATTCTTGTTTGAATTCTTTAAAGCCGACTATCTGGCTCATTACTTCATCATAATTCTCTAAACTGGACCAGTAAACTTCTCCGTAAAAAGTTTCCATCAGTTTTTCAATCGTTTCCATGGCTCGGGCTGT